GTGGAGAGAAAAAAGAGAGGAAAGAAAAGGAAATAGAAGGAAATGAGAAAGAAAAGGGAAGAGAGAAAAGGAGAGAGGCACAAGGGAAAGAAAGTGAGGCAGAAGGGAAGTAGAAAAAAGAAAAGGAAGAAAAAGAAGAAGGAGATGGGAGGCAAAAAGAGAGGAAGAAAGGAAAAGAGAGAGAGGAAGAAGAGAAAATGAGGAAACGGAAGAGAAGTGGTGATATATATAAGACTTATATGGACCGAAATCAGTCCGTATAATCCTCATTGGCGCGCCACACAAAAAAATTTCAATTTTTTCGGGAAAATTTTTGGCGCATTAATCATATTCAGACCGAAATCGGTCTGAATATAAATAAATTAGCGCATAATCAATAAGATTCAAATTAACGGTAAAAATTTGACGCATAAATTAATTATGGACCGATTTTGGTCCGAATATATTCGTAAAAAATTCACAGGCCACATTTTTATTCTTTTCATTTAAGGACATTACCATCTTCTCATGTTCTAAATCCATTCCTGCAAAAACCAATTGCATGTACATCGACCCTACAATCCCTTGGAACCACAAAACCATCGATTGTCTAGCTAAAATTATCTTACGATACTACGGAGTAATATCGTTGCAAAACCACGAATGTATAAGTTAAAGGTTATTAGAGATAATGTTACGTAATGCTCTTTCGTAGTAATAAGCAAATAAAATTTATTTTTTTTTCTTAAGGTTAACCACTTTGGCTTGCAAACATTCGGAATGTTATGGTTTAAAACAAGAGTAGAACGACTTAAGCATGAAATAACAAAAAAAATAAAAAGCTGTTGTTCATTGGAATATACAGACCGATCCCAGTCTGTATAGAGATATACGGACCGGTATCAGTCCGAATATGGGCAATCCGAGGGATTTTTTTATCTTAAAGCTAAATTAAATTAAGTATGAATATATACGGACCGGTATTGGTCTGAATATATGCAAAGAATCCAGAAGCTTCCATGCTTTTCATTTTTCAGACCGATTTTGGTCCAAATATAGTAGAAAAAATCCAGAAACTTCTTCCAGTGCACATTTTTATTCTTTTCATTTAAGGACATTACCATCTTCTCGTGTTCTAAATTCATTCCTGCAAAAACCAATTGCATGTATATCGACCCTACAGTCCCTTGGAACCAAAAAACCATCGATTGTCTAGCTGAAATTATCTTACGATACTACGGAGTAATATCGTTGCAAAACCACGAATGTATAAGTTAAAGGTTATTAAAGATAATGTTATGTAATGCTCTTTCGGAGTCATAAGCAAATAAAATTAATTATTTTTATTTAGGTTAACCACTTTGGTTTGCAAACATTCGGAATGTTACGGTTTTAAACGAGAGTAGAACGATTTAATAATGAAATAAAAAAATAAAATAAAAAGCTGTTGTTCAGGGGCATATACGAACCGATCCCGGTCTGTATATATATACAGACCGGTATCGGTCCGAATATAAAGCTGTATATACTGGAAAAAAATTTACGGTTCACGAAATGTAACCCAAGGGGGGAAGGGGAAGCTGCTGGTGAGGTAATATACGGACTGATACCGGTCTGTATACATATATACGGACCGATATCGGTCCGTATATATTATCTACAGACAATAAGCAATGGAGGATAAAGAAAACAAATTTATTTTATTTAATAATTATATAATATTACCAAATAATGCAAAAATATATTTTATCATTCAAATTAAATGCATTTATAAAAAAATAAAATATGTTTAGGATAATTACTTAAAATAATGACTTAAAATATGTAAAAGTTTAATCATATTATACATGAAAAATTTTAAAATTCACGAAATATAACGTAGGAAAAAAAATGAAAAAGCTGCAGTTTAGGGAATATACGGACCGTCTTCGGTTTGTATATCTATATACGGACCGATATCGATCCGTATACATATACACCGACCGAGATCGGTCTGTATATCATGTAAAAAAATATCCATTAAAGCTAAATAAAACAGATTTACTTTATTTAATAATTACATAATATTACCAAATAATGCAAAAATATATTTTACCATTCAAATTAAATGCATTTATAAAAAAATAAAATATGTTTAGA